CACAGGCTTGGGTGCCCTGTGCATTTGCTATTCCCTCAGTCAAATGGCTGGTGCTCTGAGGAGTGGAGAGACCAGACTTGCTGGTTCCGATGGGAAAGGGGTTTCCACACCTTTGTTTGCTCAACTGGTCAAAACCCAGTGGTGATGCCACTGGAGAGGGCAAAGCTTCTAATAGAAAGTTCTGTGAGACGACATCTTGCTGGGATTTCATTTCCCATGTTCAGCAAATCCCGGGTGCTGTATCTCAACCTCTCCCATCCCAAGTCAACAAGGGTGATGTTGATGGTAGTGAAGAATACACTCTTAACTGCAGTCCAGAAAAAAAAACCTTGTGTCCTCACATCTAACTGGAAAATATACGCCTCTTTTGGCCTCAAGAATGACATCCCTATCCCTCTTTTGGAAGAAATATCCTTCTGGGTTCGGTTTCAAGTGGGGAAAAAGACACTGGAAACATGGAGGCTGTTTGGAAAGATGGTTTAATGGTGGAGTGCTAACTTCCTGCACCTCCTTCTTGGTTTCCTGGGCCTAACTGCTTCTTCCTCTCCTCCTCCCCACATCTTTGTGCCCCACAAAACTCCAGCTTCTGAGACCTTCTTCTCTATCCCCATCCTTATGAATGGTCTGCCAGGGTGACTCCCTGTTGCATCAGGGTTCACCTTAATCTATCCAGCAAATTTGAACTTCTTATCCTTCACTGAATTTGCAGAGCTACAGGAGTGCCAACCTCCTGTTTAGGAAATGCGTTGCCTAACAGCTCACCCTTTTGCATGATTTCATAATGCTCCCCCCCCCCGCCCCCCGGCTCTTTAAGTCTTTGCCAATTATACTTGCTATCCCTCTGAGTGATCCTTTATTGGGGCACCCTCGTTTTGACCTGAACTCTGCTTTTTCAGTTTAGCAATGCATGAATATTGAATTTGTTTTTCTTGGCAGCATTACATGCAAAACCCCAGGGATTTTTTTTTTCCTCAGTGGGGGAAGATTGGTCTTTGCCTAGTTCAATTTATTCACATCTCATTCCACTCGGTTTCTCGGGCCCTTGTGTTCAAAAATTCAGATCAGCTTTCAAACCTAACTATCAAATCTTCAGTCATATCTGTGACTTCCCATCAAGGGTCAGCCTCAAATTTCTGCCTCACTTGCAACCTTCTGACAACCCTCCCTTTATAATAATCACTTCCCTTAAAATCACTGCCACCCTTTATAATGCCTCAAAGATATAGGATAAGGTAAAGTGAAGATGATTCCAGATCTCTCTCCCTAGCAGGTTTTACAGCTTTTTAAATAGAATTCCTGTCCATTTTCCAGAGCACCCCAAATTATATCTTCCATGCTATTCACTATGATCTTCATCAGATTTCTAGGTTCTGCTTACTACAACCCCCCACTCTTTCCCCCCTCCACAATTTTCACCTTAGGAGATATCACAGACCATCAAATAACAACTCCCTTCTTTTATCCCCTTCCACCTATCATTTCCCCACAGTTGTCTAAAAATGTGTGCATCCCTAAACAATGAAAACAAATCCTTTTTTTTCTTTTGGTCCATGTCAAGATGTATTTTCAAATAGGCTCCCCTTGCCTACAACACCATCTTTACAACATGCCCACTGCCATTTGCGCTGGGGAAGGGCGAGTGGGGAAGAGCTGGTAGTGATGAAGATGGATTTTCAACCCCCCTTTTCTTTAATACAAAAGATGGTTAAATTGAAATAAGCCCCTTCCGTTTGGATTGCCGGCTCGCCCCCTCCCCAGCTCTTGTGCTGAGAAGCTTCCCGCTTACCTTGTAGAAGAGACAGGGAGCAAAGTAACAGCAGCAGAAGAGGCATGTTGAGTCCTGCTTTTTCCAAACAGCGCATTTTGGATTTCTTCAGACCTGCAGAATACCTAGTCTGGCTATTTCCTTCTCCTGCCAGGCAAGGGAGCCGTGGAGCTAGGAGTCTGCTTAGCAAATGAAAATGCAGTAGCTTCTTTGCAAGGGCTAGTTCTGTAGGATTTTTCTCTTTTGCCTTTCCAAAGCAACCTAGGCTTTTTCTATTTGTGTTTTGGAAATGTGCCTTTCCTGCAGTCTGCTCCTGCTTGCTGCATAACTGATTAACTGTGTTATCTGGACCTCCTCTTCCCTTTTTCACTTAGAGAAGGAGAAATGCAGGGGACTGCTTCCTTTCGGTGAAATTATTTTTGAGAGCAGGCTTGGTGTGTCAAGCCTCTTTCACCCAGAACCCCTCTTTTTCTCTCATGTCTTATATTCACCCAACTGAATGGAGAAACGGGGAGGTCAAAATGAATTTCTTTGCGTAAAAAAAGGCATCGGATCCTTCTTTCTCCACCACCACCTACGTGCCCGCCTGGAAAGTCACCTATAGATATATTGCCATCGCCATCTCCCCTGTTCCTTCCTTTATGTTACCAAACCAGGAAAAACTTGAATAAAAATAGAAGGATATCATGGACAGTTCTTTTTCTAAAATGTAAAACCTTCAGTGTTTTGGCAAAGCAAGTCTCTCTCTCTCCCCCATTCCCCTTCTGTCCTTGACAATGAAACACAATGTGTTATTTGCAGTTGCAACTATAGAGATGGGGGAATATAAATCCACACCCCCATCCTAGCAGATGCCCATAACTATAGGTTGAAAGCACAATATGGAAAATAATGTGTTTTTTTTTAAATGAGGAACATAATATTACAGTCTGTTCCTATTAAAAAAAAAACAAGCCAATTTGCCAAACCAATATATAAATGAATCAACTTTTCTAGATAATACAGGAAAATTGTTCAAGACCCACAGGAAATAAATTCTCTGTGGAGGAAAACAGATGCAAACTTTATTAGTGATGTTGCAAATCTTGTTTAATGATTTGTAGCCTCACTTCCCACAAGAATTCTGAAAGTAAGTTATGCATTTTGTTACAAAAATACACCAATAATATGTTGGCAATTCCTTGTAAGGAAGCAGAGACGAGTAAAACATGACAGAAAGAAGTACAGCAAGAAACTATCAAATATTTATGTTGCCATTTTGGGGGAATTCAAGAGTTAGGAAATTCAAGGCAGTCACCTAGGCAGAATCTCTGATTTTATTTGAGCTTACACATTTCTCAGTGTAGGTTTGGGTTGTTGTTTTGTGTGTGTGTGTGTGTGTGTGTGTGTGTGAACTTTCATACCCTCCTAGTTTACTAGTTTATACAGGCCCTAGCATTTTTAAGGCAATATTTAGCATCTCACACAAATGTTGTGTTTATTATTAAAATGTTCCCATATTGTGCCACATTCTTTTTATTTTTCTCTTGCCTTCCTCAACATCCATCTTAGAATTGCTCTTGTTTCTTCCTCTCTCTGCACCAACATTATCCTCCAACTTCCCACTTCCCATCTCGGCTGGCTCCTTCATCCCTCGCACTCCAAGGTTTTGCTACCCCACTATAACTCTCCTATAAAAACCGCCACCAACACAACCATCACCAGCCCCCTCCCCTCCTGAGCCTTTATGTCTGAGGCTGCAGAAGCCAGGCACACAATAATCAAGATGAAAAATGCATTTTTGAAATAATTAGGGAGGGATAGATGTAGAGAGATTAGATAGATAGATAGATAGATAGATAGATAGATAGATAGATAGATAGATGTAGAGAGGGAGAGATTGTAGAGGTGGGGACATGATCACTCTTCGGGGGTGGGGGGGTGGCAGAAAAAGGATCCTCCCCTCTTTTGCGGCTTCAACTTAATCTCCCTTCACAAAGGTTACTATGAAAGTTGCTATGGGAGGACGGTTGCTAAGGAGACATTGTGGTTGCCAGGCAGTTGCTAGGATATAGGTACCAGGAGCTGCTAAGGAAGATGCTAAGGATGGTTCTCAGGAATGTTCCAATTAGCAGCAACCATTGGTGTGCAGCTTAAGGACTTATTTTAGAAATGCAACTAATGCAACAATCGGTTGCAGCCTAAAATGCTCATTGGGTGGGGGGTGGGTGGGAAGGAGAGTGGAAAGATGGCTGCGCTGCAGGCAGGGGTTGCCTCCAATGTGCCTGAGCCTATGCTGCAGTTAGAGGAGGAGGAGGAGGAGGGGCCCTAGCCTAAAGCAGGCCTAGCTGGCAACTTACCTTTTGTAGCCCTCAACAATTCATCATTCAATCCTACCGCCCACCCCCTAGCCCTAGAAATGATTGCTTACTGATGAGATCAATCACTCAGGGTGACCATATGTTGATACAGGGGGTTCCGGGCTGTGGTTGGGGTGGCTGTTTATGCAGCGAAGCGTCGGCTTGCAGCTGATACGAGGAAGGAGAGGAAGACGTCAAAGGGAGGGATGGCAGATTAGAGCAGCGGGGGGGGGGGGGGAGCTCTAATCTTTTCCGGATGCCTCTGGTAGTCTATGTGCATGAACAGAAATTACTGTTGACAATATTGGCAACGGAAGAGTTCAGCCAGGAGGAGATAGAAAGACACAGGGAAGAGAGTGATAAAGGCATTTGGGGGAGAGACAGAGGAGGCAAGAATATTAGAAGATGGAATGACTGGGAAATGGACAAATGAACAGGTAGAGATTTTTAAAAAGGGAGTGGGGAGGGGAAACACATCTGTCTGGGGAAGATGTCATTTGTCTTGCAATAAATGGAGGACACCAGCAGAGAAGGTGACTAGTGAGGACAGAGTTTGAGCAGACGGGAAATTACAGCAGTGGAGGCAGATGAGAGGAGATAGGCAGAATTGATAAGGCAGAATGAGAAGCAGTTTGGAAGAAGAGAATACAGCGACAGAGGAAGAGAAGAATTGGGAGGGTGTGCGGGACAGAAGTGGTGAAAATGATTGACAGACGGCTCAGAAATTAGGCATCCGTTTAAAGAACAGATTCACGCAGCGGCTGGGTGAAATATTAAATGAGCAGGAAGAAATAGAAAACGAGGGTTGAAAGGGCACCCTATGAATTGGCCTGGGCAATTCAGAATGGCTGGGCAGGCCAGCGGGATTGCATGAGATGCTCTAACTTTGCCCGAAGATGCCCAGCATCATGGCTAATTGGGGTCTCCGTGGCCTTTTCTCCCCGCTCCTCCCTGACCCCTCTACATGGCACTCTCGACCAGAGCCAGCCATAGCTCTGCTAGGTTCTCTAGCCCTCTTGTTCATCTGGTACTGCTACCGTGTGGGGACAGGACAGGTAGCCCCTGCAACTCATCCGCAAGGTGTGCCAACCGAAGAAGGATGCCCTCGCCGTACCCTCAGGGGCGATGCTATCAATCAGCGCCTCTATCGCAGCCTGCGAGATTACGCCAAGCGCTATTCATGGTCAGGTATGAACCGGCTGCACAAAGGTATCCGGGACCAGGCCCATTACCAGCTGGGTGAACGGATGGCCATCCAGAAGCCCAGCGCTTTCTACCTCCCCGACTTGCCTTCGGCCCCCTATTTCCCCCGCGAGTCTCAGCGTCACGATGTGGAGATTCTTGAACTCAGTTTCCCAGCCATCCTGCGGGAATTTGAGGGCATTGCAAGGGACTTTGAACCAGGAGCCCCAGTGCCACGGGGATGGATCGTCAACGCCAACCCCGGCTGGCACAGTTATTACCTCTACCGACAGGGGGAGTGCATAGCACAGAATTGTCGCAGCTGCCCATGGACGTATCGGGCACTCAGCGCACTACGCACCTTTATCAACGCCAATTGCTTTGGAAACGCCTGCTTTAATGTCTTGCAGCCCGGAACTGTGATACCTGGCACCTATGGACCAACGAACACCAGGGTACGGTGTCATTTAGGTGAGCAAACACTGGAGGAGCAATGAATGGGGCAGTATCTACTTGGTGGGGAACCTGTATTGCCAGCATCTCGTTTCAGTGTAATACATGCTGTGTAGTTACTGAATTTTTTTGTTCCCTAAATAGGAGCTGTTTATAAGCTTGGTTTATTATTATTAGCCTATTTTATTAACTATGCTATTTATATTTAGAAGCAGCCAAACAAGCAGATTGGAATAATTGCTCTGAACTGCAGCACTGCTTCAGATGAATCTGCTCCACAAACTAAGAACAAATCTTATGTTTTAGAAAATCTGCAGGTGACAAGTGGCATTTCCAAAGAGGCATTCTTTGTAGGATGCCTCTTCTGGGAAGGTGGCATAAGAAACATGCATCATTGGCCAACACTTTGATTCACAGTGCAAGTATGATGGGTAGGTAGCACAAGGAGCATCAAATAAACTCTTTTTACCTCTTTTTATTTACAACATTTATATAAGCCCCCACGCACGGTCTTTAACCAACTTTGGGTGGCTCCTAATCAAAAGTTTTCTGAAAGTTTCAAATTTTTCGGGAGCTCACAATATAATCTCAGGCATTTGATCTCAAGTGAAGGCAGGAAGATATGAACAAGGTTTTTCAGAAACCATTTTTTTTGTTGTTGTGCAGATCTTCTTTTCCTGATCGCCAATTATCTTCTGTGGCCCCAAAAATGCTTTTTCCAGAAGGCAACTGAACAGTTCTACCTGTTAGAACTGAAGAAGTTTCATAGATGAAAAGCTAAATGTTTTTAAAGAACAAAAAACCCCAAACAAACAAGTAAGTCCAGTTGCCTTCTGGAGAAAGCAGCTTTGGGACAACCGTGACCTGGTTGATTGAGAATATCCGTAGACAATGATCTTCTGTAATTTCTATATTCCTCCTATGACTTTTGTTTGCAAGACACTTTACCTTCTGCTGAAGCAAGAAGAAGGTCCCCAGGTTGTGACCACAATTCTGCATGGGGTGATAAAAAAAATCTATATGCAAATGGGGCCCCCATTCTTGGTTTTGCAAATGACAGCTTCTCTTTTTCCCCAGCATAGGAAGTTATTTCCATAATTAGTACTTTAAATCAGCGTGTTTCTGTTCTCTCTTTTGTATTGGGGGGGGAGGGGTATGAAGCATCCTTCACTAAGCCTCCCTCTCACAGATTAATCCTTCTTCTAGGGCTAAAAGTGCCACCCGGTTGTGAGTTGGTGGTGGGTGGTGAGCCACAGTGCTGGTCTGAAGGATACTGCCTCCTGGTGGACGATTCCTTCCTGCACACCACAGCCCATAATGGTAAGAGAGCAGAGAAAGCAGGCATGAGGATCGAAGTGAGTTGACTTCAAAAATCTCTCTTCCCAGAAAGCAGTTGGGGACTAGGGCTTCCTTGGAAGTTCCCCACTGTATAAATTTGTCCTGAATAAGGGTGCTCACCTGCACACCTCAGCTTTAGGAATGTTACACCCAGGTTGACTGGTTGTCTCTTATCCCAGTGGCCCCCAGCCTTTTGGACACCGTTTTCGTCGAAAGAGTGTTTTCTGTGGACCAGAGGGGGTATGGTTTTGAATGCTACCTGCATCCCACAGAGAGGGCTTTGTTTCTGTGGCCCAATTTCTGGCATGCCACGGCACAGTGCCAGTCCATAGACCGAGGGTTGAGGACCCTTGTTTTATCCCACTTCTCCAGTGAGTTATGGCCTCTTTAAGATCTCAGAGTATGATACGACCCTAAATTCATCTGACCACCTCTAGACAATTTGCTTTCCTACCAATCTCTAGGATTTTGGGAAGTTTCCCCAAAAGAATGTATTTTGCACAATTTTAAGCACCTAAAAGAGGGTTGGGATATTTTATTTATTTGTGGTGAAAGGTCTTTCTTGCAGGAATAATCTGCTCAGGGCTGCATTGTGGAACAATGATAGGCAGAGCTGAAGCGAGTGAAAGGTGAAGTTCAAAGATAAAATAGGTAGCACCAAAATCCTCCTACCCATTTTATGGTATTCTGTTATTTTGGTGATTGTTTGAAAACACATTGGGCCAGGGTTAATTGAACTAGGTTTTGCTGAGTTATCTGGGTACACAAAGCAGATTAACCACAAATCTAAGCTATGGTGCAAATTTTCTGGATTTGCCCAACATGCTAAAATATGGTTGGCAAGTATCACACTAAACCACAAATTAGCCAACCCTATTTATATCTCATGTGTTTGCTACAGCAAATTATGCCTTCATAAAGTATTTTTTCCCCTTTCATTTCACCTGGCAAGCTATTGGGGAGAAACACTTTGTTTTGGTCAGATCTGTTTTGGTTGTTGAAAAGGATTTGAAATTAAATTGAGGTCTATATATTGCATTGGGACTTGAAATGATAACTGCAACCATCTTTGTTACAGGTTCCCCCAGCGATGGACCTCAGGTGATTTTTATTGCTGATCTCTGGCATCCCAACGTAGCAGGACCTGAACGACAGGCATTAGATTATATCTTTGCCCCTGGTCGATAGATGCTTGACCTAAGAAGTATTGGGGGCATGGACACAATTTCACAAATACTTGCTGCTCCTCACAAAAACCAACTACTCCCTATACTTATCTAGATTCACTGTTTTCCTGAATTAGGCCCAATGTATAATGCAAAAGCCACAGAGATTTGCAAAGCCACGAAAATGTCTTTTTGTTCAAGGTGATTCTGTGCCCTCTCATGAAACTCATCCTAGAGATTTTTGTGATCTGGGACAGTTTGGTTTTCTTGCACTATTTAGTTCCTTGTGGTTCCCCCCTGCCCCCCAATGGCACTGTTCTGTTCAGCCTGTGCAGGTGGGGAATGTTGCTGACTACACTGTAGTACTAGTTACCCTTAAATTTAATGAAGTATATGAAATCCTCATTCTGTATTAATAGCATAGATTTTTCCAGGGTTATTTTGGGAAGGAGGGTAAGAAATTAACCAAAGTAAAATAGTCTGTTTCCACCTGTCTATGATAAATTATTGTTCTTACACAATATCTGTAGCTCAACATTTGTGTCAAGGGATTTAATTTTGAAAAATTCTAGCCAGCTGTATTCCAATAAAATCTTTAGATTCATTATTTTTGTCCAGGTATTTTTTTTCTCAGAGGAGAAACCATACTCTTTTTTCCCCAAAAGTTTTTTATTTTTTGAATTTTATGCAGCTTTCCACGTGAGAAACATGTTTCCAGGTTATAATACTTGTACATAGTCATACTTTCATTTCCATTAATCTTATATAATATTAACTCATATCATTATCCATTTCGCTCATCTTTAAATAAGTTTACATTTCATATTTCAATTCATTAATTCAATATCAATATCATTTCATCCATCAAATCTTTATTCAAATCTTTATCTCCTATTATTTCCATTTTCAGCTTACCATCTGTTTTATTTTACATTACACGTCACTGTTATCCTTAGTTTTCTCTAAGCTGATATATAATACACAAACAAAAAAGAGTAAAAATATAGATAAAACCAATATATTTAGGATCCACATGGTATTTTCCATTCCCCTATTTTAATCATAATAGAATATTCTCATTGTACAATTCTAATATCCATTAAATAATCAACTGTATATATAGTCAACTGTATAAATCCCCTCCAATAAAATAACTTCTTAATATCTCTCATTTTATCTTCACTTTACTTATAATCGTTAATAATCATATCTTTTTTAAAAATTCATTTCCATTCCCTTATTTTGATCCTCCAAAAAAGGGGTTCAAAACAACGCATTTTATGTACAGTCAATATTCATATATATACTCATTCCTAAAATATTTCCCTACCAGTTTTAAATTAAACACCAATATATTCTCCATGTGGTATCCCCCTTATAAAATCCCTAACCCTTATCTCTAAATTTTTCAGCTTTATTGTTTATTTTAATTTTAGCCAACTTTCCCTTTTCTAAATTTCCCTGATCTTCCTTCTTTTCCTTCTAACATTTCACCCATCTTCTCTCTCTCCCCCCCACCCACTTTCCTGTTCTCTTTTTTGAAGTTTCTTCTTGTATAATTTTTTTCTTCTTTTGTTTGATCCTGGGAGCATTTTCTCTTTTATTTGTCAAGTCTGTCATCAATATCATAGTTATAATTCCTTTAGTATATTTTGGCAAAGTCTCTTGTTCTCCATGTCTGTCTGAGCCTCTTTCTTCTTCCTTTGACTCCACCTCACTGGAATTTCTTTGTTCTGCAACCATCACCATTATTTTCTTTCCCAGTATTTCCAATAAATTCCCTTCTTTCTTTGAACATTCCTTTTACCATTTGTAACTCCAACTTAAAATCTTTACTTATTTCTTCCATTTTTATAATAAATTGTTAATATTCAAAATCTTTTATTGCAATCCTTGCCAAAAGTCTCCTTTTATCTTTATTTCTTTTGTTAATCCTTCTGTCTCTTTGTCACTATCAACACCCAACAATCCCAGGAAGTTGCATCTGTATGTCCTCTTGGTAAAATTTCTCCTCTCTTTTTCCCAAATATCCGAGGTTCTTATTATTTTATTTGTCTTTTATTCCATAACAATTAGAAGTCCAGTAAATTTCCATAAAATTTTGTAGGGAAAAAAAGTCTCTGACCATTAGATGGCGCTTTGTATCACTTTCCACTTTTTAAAGTTCTTTTCTCTTTTAATTATATAAAACATTAATTTCCAACCATTTCCACAATTAATTTTCTTAGTATTAACCAATTCCAGGCAAGTCCAGCATTTAATCCAATGCCTAATTAATGCCAGTTTATATTATTCAAAGTTTAGCTTCTGATTCCATTGTAGCTTTTTATAAACCAGTTTTGTTTACCTTGTATTTTTCTCTTTTTTTTCCTTGTTCGCCGCTGTGTTACTCTTACACGAGGGCACTTTCTTTCTACTTCTCGGGGGTTGTTAAGAAAAAATCAAGTTCTTTATCTGGTTGCACGTCTCTCACCACTCCACTACTCCAGCACAAAACTTAAATCCTGGCAGCTTTCCATCTTCGGGGCAGCCATTTTAGACTGCTGTTTCTCCCTGTCTTCCAGGGGAGTAATACCTAGCCAGGGAGGGGAGATGCGGCTCCCGTCAACCCAGCTGGTGGTCTCCCCTTCTTCGCCCACCCCTCCAAGGTGGGTCAAAATGATACCGGTCCCGGACTTCCAGTTTGGGCTTCTTCGGTGACGGACCGAAATCCACGATCATGCGCGGTTTCGATCTGTGCTCGCTGCTGGAGCACCCCGAGCTGCTTGGATTCAGGGCAGAAGCGATCCCATAGAGGTGGTGAAGAAGGGAGAGACCGCTAGCGGGGTTGAGGACAGCAGCATCTCTCCTCTTCAGCTGGCCATTACTCCCTTTCCCAAAGACAGTTGCAGCGGTGGTCAGAAATGGCTACCTCAAAGAAGAACCCAACTGGACAAGATTGTGCAGGAGGAAGTTTAAAGAAGAAAGTTTGACTGACCATGTTGTATGGAGAAAACTTCTGTTTAAGATACCTGGAACTTGAATCACAAAGACTAATACAAAAGATCTAAAAAACCTAAAAAAGATCTAGAGACCTAAAAAAGATCTTTAAAGCGGCAAAAGAGAAACAGAAAGGAAAAATAATTGACTTTTTTTTCTCTCACATTGACTTTGAACGTTAAGAAGAGAGCTAAACAAGAAATTAATACTTTGACATTAACAGGCTATTTTTAGCTGAAAATAAAGTGTGAAAGGGATAAAGACTCTTCAATAAATTTAAAAAATTTCAAAAACAAAGAAAGCAGAGGGGGAAAAAAGAGGCTGGAATCTGGAAAAATGGAGATCATCTGGAAGTAAAAATAATCGATAGTGGAATTTTAACAAGACTTGTAAAGGATATGTTGTAGATAATAAGATAATAAAGCCCCTGGAAAGAGAAAGTAAGAAAAGAAGCAAGAAACAGCTTTGGATTATTGGATTCCTGGAATTTTGGATGATGGATCCTAATGAAACAAAATAAAATCAATAGGAGGTTGTTTAAAAATCTTTAAAATGGCACCACTCCTTGAAGAGCTAAAAATGATACTTAAAGAACAAAAAGAAGAAGTACAAGGGGGAAGAGGATCTTTTGGATTCGTATTTCAATTTTTAGAAATGGAGATTTTGAACTATGAAAAACAACAAAAAATGCTTGCAGAACAAGAAGGGCGGGACAAAGAAGAAGCCATCTTTAAAGACCAAGCAATTTTAAGCGGGGTAAAAAAGGGAAAGGGGGGGAAAGGGAGTTAAAAACTTTGAAGCAATAACCAAAAAAAAGAGTAATTTGAAAAGTAACTGTAACATTAGGAAGAAGCAGAAGAGAGGATCACAGAAGGGAAAAATCAGATAGAAAAGGGAACAAAAAGGGGAGGGAGAAGAAGAGGGGGAAGATGGAAAGGAAAAGGACAGAAACAAGATATAGAGAAACAGGAAAAACGTACAAGAATTAAAGGTATAAGCCTATTTAAAAGACACAGAGACAATGGTTAAAAATTTAACTTAAAGAGAGGATTCTGCAAGGGTGCATGAGATAGCATAGTTATACTAAATAGAAAAGGGTTAGAAAATATGATAGATAATTAAAGTGACAGATAACATTTGCATTGTTGTGTAATGGAATATTTGTTAGTAATTAAATGAAACAAAGAGGATAAGAGAATAAGGCTCTCAATGATTTTTAAAAAGTGTATAATTGAAAAGAAACATGAAAGATTTTTAATGAAATTAATATCAGTTGACAGGATGAATTTGAATAAGAATAATTTTATTGACTACTGTTAATCATTGTTTTGTTTTTTGTTTAAAGACAGTAATGAGTAAAATATGAAATATAGGTGATTAAAGTGAATGACAACTGGTATTATTAGGTAATGAAATGTTTGTTAAAAGATGGAAATGCTTTAAACAGAAATGTAAAAGATTGCTATCAATATTAATGGCTGAGCTGAACTCGAATAGAACGATTATTTCATTTACTATTGTTGTACATATATATATGGAGACACACACACACACACACACACACACACACATATGCATACATACATATATATATATACATACATATACACACACAAACATACAAACATTTCTTGTCAAGAACTTAGTAATGTACCAAGAATTTGGTTGATAATAGTTATGTGTTATAAAATAGAGGTTAGAAAATGAATGTTATAACAGTAAAGGCATAAATTAAACTTTAAACAAGATTTGAATGGATAATAATTAAAAGATACAATGTTACACTCCAGTCTAGTAACTACAGGGGAAAATTTGTTTTATGAGAAAAGAAAATATGAAATTGTAAACAGGACAAACAAAAGGATAAAAATATTGATTAGAAAGATATTGAAAATTAGAAAAAGATATATAATTGAACTTAGAAAGAAATGAGGTAATTAATAACAAGGTTATAAAAAGCAAAGAAAGGGAAAACTATTGAGAAAATTCTGAAAGTAATTATAAGATATGGATTAGAATACATAAAATGAATTGAGTTTATGTCTGTATGGAGAAGTGATAATCTGGGAGCATGCTGTTCTCAAAAAAAAAAGATATTTGATTTGTACTTGTATGTTTGTGAAAACCCAAATAAAACTTTTTTAAAAAGATGACAACGGTCCTGTAGGGACCATTCCGACAAGGGAAACACAGACCCGAGCCGTGCATGATCGCAGTCTCTGGCCGTCGTCAACGGAAGCGCCACTGGAAGCCAGGAAAAACCATACTCATGTGATGTGCTTTACGAGATTAAAGACACTAGCTACAATTTTACTGAACATCAACCAGGTTTATTTAAAAAGTGCATTAAACTCTGATGTCAGGAAGTGCAATTAAACAATCAAAAGAAAATCACATGAGATGGAGATCAAAAGCTGCAGGGAGTAAGGTAAATATCAATCCAGAATAGAGTGGAAGGGATCTTAGAGGTCTTCTAGTCCAACCCCCTGTTCAAGTAGGAGACCATATACCATTTCAGACAGGTCCAGTCTCTTCTTAAAAACTTCCAGTGATGAAGCACCTACAACTTCTGACAACAAGCTGTTCCGCTGGTTAATTGTCCTCACTGTGAGAAAGATACTCCTTAATTCCAGGTTGTTTCTCTCCTTGGTTAGTTTCCAACCATTGTTTCTTTTCTTGCCTATAGGTGTTGTGGTAAATAAATTGACCCCCTCTTCTTTGTGGCAGCCCCTCAAATAATGGAACGCTGCTATCATGTCACCCCTAGTCCTTCTTTTCTCTGGACTAACCAACCCAAATCCTGCAACCGTTCTTCATATATTTTTGTCTCCAGGCCCTTAATTATCTTTGCTGTTCTCCTCTGTACTTTTTCCAAAGTCTCAACATCTTTTTTGCAGTATGGTGACCAAAATTGGATGCGGTATTCCAGGTCTCCAAATTATTGAAATCACTGATTGGATATTACTATGGTAATATACGAGGAGAAGAACATAAGTAATGCTTATTTGTCCAGAATATCACCATCTCAAATCAGACAAGCTGTTTTTCATCCACTTTTCCTGTATATTTTAAAGCATTTTTAATTAGAATGTTACAGTACAGGTAGTCCTTGACTTACAGCCACAACTGAGCCAAAATTTCTGTTGTTAAGTGAATTTTTTCCTACTTTATGATTTTTTTTGCCACAGTTGTCACTGCAGCTGTTAAATTAGTACCATTAACACTGTTGTTAAGTGAATCTGGCTTCCCCACTGACTTTGCTTGTGAGGCCACGAAACTTGATGACATGACCCAGAGATACTGCAACAGTTATAAATGAGTCAGTTGTGTCAACATCCACATTTTCATCATGTGACCATGGAGATGCTGCAATGGTTATAAATGTGAAAATGGTCATAACTCACTTTTTTCAGTGTCGTTGTGACCTCGAATGGTCATTAAATGAACTTGTAAGTCAAGGTACAATAAAAGTATAAAAAGTGAAAAAAGAAAGAGAAAAAGGAAGAAAAAACAAAATTGCCATCTTACTTTTATTCTTATCCCTCTTTCTGATTCCCAAACCCATAAGACAGTCTTTTTCTTCTTTCAACAAAAACGCCACATAAGGCTTCCAATCTTTTAAAAGTCTTTGTCGTTCTTTTCCCCTCATCAAATTCCTCGACACATTTTGTTTTAAATCCCCACACAGTATGAGTCACTGTTGTTCACCTCTTATATTGGTTCTTAAGTTGTTGGGTTTTTTTTAACTTTGGCAGTGGGATCTTATTATTCTTCACAAAATAATTTTAAAACGTACAGGGATAATCTGTTAAAAGAAGCACACGATGCACAAAAAAAGAAGAGCAAATTTTCGAAGTCGAATTTGCTAAGTTTATTTGCCAGATTTGCCTCTATTTGTCCAAATCTAATTCTGCCCAGCAGGAATTCTAAATGCATTTTTCTGTTTTTCCTGCTTATCAAATTCCCAAGAGCAGACCAAAAGTCTCAGCCCATCCTCTCCTTACATTGTTGAGGAGATGACAGCCACAATTTCCATCTATACATATAAATATGTTGATGTTTACAAACTGTTTATAAATTGAAGTTGATCAAGTTTGGTTACTATTTAAGATTTCTGATTAACCAGGCCATGTTCCCTGGCAACTCTAGGTAGCGTATTTACGCTTTTCATTCACATGAAGAGAAGAATTGCTCTTTTGGCCTCCTGTAAGTTCAGAACTGGCAAGGGATCATCTCAGCAGCTGCACTGCCCTTTTACATCACAGGACATGGGAATGGGAATGGGGACAGGGACAAGAACAGAATAGAACAAAGTTGGAAGGGACCTTGGAGGTCTTCTAGTCCAACCCCCTACTTAGACAGGAAAATGTATACCATTTCAGACAAATGGTTATCCAATCTCTTCTTAAAAATTTCCAGTGTTGGAGCATTCACAACTGGAGGCAAGTTGTTCCACTGATCAACTATTCTGTCAAGACATTTCTCCTGAGTTCTAGGTTGCTTCTCTCCTTGATTAGTCTCCATCCATTGCTTCTTGTCCTACCTTCAAGTGCTTTGGAAAATCGCTTGATCCCATCTTCTTTATGGCAACCCCTTAGATATTGGAACAAGGTTATCACGTCACCCCTAGTCTTTCTCTTCATTACACTAAAGGTAAAGGTTCCCCTCACACATACGTGCTAATTGTTTTTAGCTTTAGGGGACGATGCTCATCTCTGTTACAAAGCCGAAGAGCCAGCGCTGTCCGAAGACGTCTCCTTGGTCATGTGGCCGGCATGACTAAAGGCCGAAGGCACACTGAGCGCTGTTACCTTTCCACCAAAATCGTCCTTATTTTTCTACTGCTAGGTTGGCAGAAGCCGGGACAAGTAACAGGAGCTCACTCCGTTACACAGCACTAGGGATTTGGACCACCAAACTGCCGACCTTTCTGATCGACAAGTTCAGCCTCTTAGCCACTGAGCCACTACGTCCCTTTTTCATTAAACTAGACATACCTATAAACTAGGCAACTGTTCTTTATATGTTCTAGCCTCCCCTAATCATCTTTGTTATTCTTCTCTGCACTTGTTCCAGAGTCTCAACATCTTTTTTACATTGTGGCAACCAAAGATGGATGCCGTATTCCAAGTGTGGCCTTACCAAGGCATTATAAAGTAGCATTAACACTTCACATGATCTTGTTCTATCCCTCTGTTAATGCAGCCTAGAACTGTGTTGGCTTTTTTGACTAGGACATTTGTGACAAGAAACCCCACAGTTTCATCAACTCCAAGATCACAAAAAGTTTGAGGGTAAGCAGACCAAATGGGGTACTGGCAGCCTCAATTTAAAATTGGGAGAGAATTTCTGTTGCTAAGCTATGACGGCTGTTAAGTGGATTGCACCTGATTTAATGATCTCTTTGCCAGTTGTTAAGTGAATTGCTGCGGTTGTTAAATAAATCATGTGGTCATTAAGGAAATCCAGCTTCCTCCCTTTGAATTTGCTTGTTGGAAGATGGCTGGGAAGGCTGCAGCTGGGGAATCACTTGATCCTGGGACACAGCAAACATCATAAACACATGCTGGTTGCCAAGCACTTGAATTCAGATCCTGTGAATATGAAGATGTTTGTAAAACTGTAAAAAAAAGACCAGTCATCAGTTTTTTCACTGCTGTTATGAATGGTTGCTAAAATAATGCTGTAAGTTGAGGACTATCTGTATATGGCAAATGAAACTGCAGGTCCTCAACAACTCCTCTTCTTCTGATTGGCAACTTTTTTCATTATTATTAAGAATAGTTCACAGAAATTAAATCCAAGTCATACTCACAGAGCTTTATTACACCTTAAAAATTGAAAGCAAGTACCTCCAGCAAGCCATACAGGATCAGTGTCAAGGTCCAGGGTTTATGCAGGAGTTCGCTCCCCTCGTATCTGCCCCCATAGTTCCACTCCATCTTCCTCTCTCGGCTTATCTTCTTCATTACCGTCAGTATTTGCGCTGACGAAGGAAGAGACCGGAGGGTCGTTTTGGAGTGGGTACATCATCTGAATCAAGGTCAAAGAGGTCACACCCGGTCTTCATAATTTGCTCCTCCAGCACTTTATGGCGCTTCATGTCTGACAGCACCTTGTCCAGGCGGGCTTCTCTTTTCTGACTCTTAGCTAACGTCCCTGGAAATTAATCACAAACCAGGATTGGAAGATGAGGTGCATACATCATACTAACATAATAGGCCTGTGAGGTAAAAATACAGTGCAATCCTTGCTGTTCTTACAGAGAATTGCAAAATAATTAAAAATCATGAGGAAGCAGGTGGGAGAAAACTGCCCAGCAACAGCATTTCTTTATTGGGTTAAGAAATTGACATCTTTGCTACCAATCAATAAATAAACTCAATACGTTTTTACACAGATAGACCTTGACTTACAACCATTTGTTCAGTGACAGTTCAAAGTTACGGCACTGAGAAAAGTGACTAATGACTAGTCCTTCCACCTAGGACCATTGCAGCATCCCCGGGGTCACATGATCAAAATTTAGAATGCTTGGCAAGCAGGTGCAGCATCCCCGGGGTCACATGATCAAAATTTAGAATGCTTGGCAAGCAGGTGCAGCATCCCTGGGGTCACATGATCACCACTGGTGACTTTCCCAGCCAGCCTCTGACGAGCAAAGTCAATGAAGCTGGATGTCCTTCATGACCATGTGATTCACTGAACATCTGCAGGCAGTTGCTCAACAACGCTGGCCAAAAAAAAAAAAAAAAGGTCATAAAATCAGGTGTGATTCACTTAACAACCAAATGGCTTAGCGATGGAAATTCTGGTCCCAATTGTGGAGGCAAGTCGAGGACTTCTCAGCAATGGGGGTACTTCAAAAAGTGAATGTTATAACAAAAGAGGTGACTGAAACATTTTTTTCTGTTTAGGATCCTCTTTCTAAAAATCTACTATTTTTAATAAACCCTAGTGGGAAATGTGGGCAAAAGACATCAGACTCTGAAAATGTACCCATTTTATATACACATGTGCACACACACACACGTACTGGGTCAGTAATGATCCCTAGGGATTGCCTAGGCAAGCCTCTGCAGTTTTCTTGGCAAGGTTTTTCAAAAGTGTTTTGCCATTCCTAGGACCAAGAGAGTGGGACTGGCCCAAGGTTATCCCGCTGGCTATACACCTAGGGTGGCACTAGAACTTCTGGTCTCCCAGTTTCTGTTCTGCTGCCTTAACCGCTCACCAAACTGGCCCTCAATAGAGTTTTCAGCGTCAATAAAACTAATTAAATGGGTATGATGTATAAAAACTATGCAAGGGAGGAAGAGTTTCTTTCCTTTTCTCTCCTGCATGAGCTAGAAGTTGGAGTCACCTAATAAATGGTGGGAGATTCGGGACAGCTAAGAGGACGCGGTTCTTCAATCAACTCACCATCAGAGGAGGGATGACTATCAACTTTGCATGATACAAGAATCAGGCACCAAGTCATGGAGAATGATTATACTGTCAATAGCTGCTAGTCATGACCGCTGAACATGACCAGTCATGAGTCTCTTTTTTTCAGTGTTGTTGTAACTTCAAACGGTTGCTAAGAGAATGGTTGTAAGTCGAGGATCTATACAGCAAGTGAAATTGGTCCTCAACAATTGTTCCTCTCCAGATTTGCTAAACAAACGGTCGATCGTATCTGGATACGATGATAAATATGATGGTGCAGGGTTAGAACGCAGTGTTGCAGGCTGACTCTGCTGTCTGCCAGCAGTTCGATTCTGACCGGCTCAAGGCTGACACAGACTTCCATTCTTCTGAGGTCAGTAAAATGAGGACCCAGATTGTTGGGGGCAATATGCTGACTCTGTAGACCACTTATAGAGGGCTGCAAAGCATTGTAAAGTGGCATATAAGTCTAAGTGCTGCTGCTATTTGCAATAGGTAACACAAGAGGGAAGGTCCTATTGCACCCACAGCCAGCTTGTGGGTTTCCCATTAGCAACTGGTGGGCCAGTTTGGGGGCAGAATGCTCTATTCCATAATTCATTGGCCTGGCAATGCTCTTCTACCTTCTTATGGAAACTCAATTGCCTTCCTTACGTACCAGGAGTTCTCCGTCGATCAACCAGGGAGCTTTTGGGAGAGGAAGGCTCATCATCAAAGTCAAACTCGGTAGGTATATGAGGCCTGGAGAGAGAGAGAAAAAAAAGAGTCAACCTGGAGATATTCTCAAGTCTATCGTTTCCTCCCCTTAACTTAATCTCAAATCTTAGATTCCCTTCTTTAAGCCAAATACAAAAACCCATTCCTCACTTCTCCTCCTCCTCTTCTTCCTGGTATTCAGATTGTCCATCAGATTTATCTTCATCTTCACTGTCAGGCTCTGGGGTTGGGTTGCGCCGAGGGAGGATTTCGGCCTGAATCTCCAGAGACCCGTGCTCAGCAATGAGCTCATATAAACGGTGGATCTCCTCAGGTTCAGGCATCCAGTTATCTGGAGAATCCAGCTCCTCGTCGCTGCAGGGGACACACCAATCCTCTTCAGCAGATTCCTCCCCCTTCCCTGATAATTCCCCCTCTGTTTCTTTGGCAGTGTCCTCTTGTTCCTCAGTGGCAGAAGCTAAATCCGGAGCAGGCCCATCTTCTACTGCCAAGGATTGCATTCCCGAGGTCACTTCCCCTTCTTCCACAGTGCTGGCTTCTTCCATGGCTGTAAGAAAGAGAAGATGAGACCACAGGATAAGCACAAAGATGGCAAATTCTGGAGAGTCAAGAATCTGAGATAACTGGCTAAATATTATAAAATATAATGCTGTAAATATTCCAGTGCGTATCCCAAAATTAAGAAAGGCAGAAAATAATGTTGGGTTATTGAAAAAGTAAGGTAAAGGAGTCCCTGTGGATTTTACTCCACTAGTCGTTGCCAATTATAGGGGATGGTACTGATCTCCATTTCAAGGCCATTGAGCCAGTACTGTCAAAGACATTTCCATGGTTATGTGGCCACCAGTCACGGAGCACTGTTACCTTCCCATCAAAGTGGTACCTATTTATCTACTCACATTAGCATGCTTTCAAACTGCTAGGTTGGCAGGAGCTGAGGCAAGGATGGGAACTCACTCTGTCACTTGGTGCTTGGGACTCAAACCCTGAGCTGCCGGCTTTCCAACCAACAAGCCCAGAATTATTAAGTTCTGATTCACAATAACCAGATTTTTTTTATCATCTACCAATCCCAAATAGATTTATGCACTAATGGATCGTCTATCAAAATAGCAAAAGAAAAGAGCTTCCAGGAAAAGTATGGTGAACTGAAGACAGCTCTGTGAAAGGAACACCAACGACTATGGCAAAGCCCAAGGAACCAGTGAGTAGACCCATTCCTTGGAACTGCTCTGGATAACGAAAGGACAAGAGACCACACACATATGCTCTGGACAATTGCTCTTCATGAAGAGACAGTAGGACAGCAGTTTCCCATGGGTTTGAGTACTGGGAGACAAAGGAATTAACCATCTTGTTCACAACCATGGCAAAGCCTTTTAAAGGACACTAAGTTTGCAAATCTCACTTTCTAATGACTTTCAGAAATTGCCTGCTAACTGTTCAGAAAATATTAGAGAGATCTTTGAAATGACAAGATTTCAAAAGTCTTCATCGGATGGGTTTATTTTCAGCTCTGAACAAACAAATTAATTACAAGCTTAGGAACATAAACATTTGAAATAAACAGCAATAAGCTAAATATGATTTTAACCTAAAAAATTAGAAATGGGTTTAAGGACCAAGGTATTTTGGAATATTGACTTTTGCTGTAAGATTTTGGAATTAACTACATAAAAAAGCAACTTCTCATGCAAAATATACTTACTTTGGTTAGGTTTTAATAATGCTATTATGCCTTCAAGATATTGCAAGAATGGGCAAGAAGGATTTTTAAAAGGCCTTTCCACCAGGGGAATTAAAAGCAGTATATAAAGTTGGCTTTGATTCCAATGATTTTTCCAGAGATGGAAGTCATGACAAAAGCCTATAGTAATTTAGAAATAAATAAATATATATATATATATATATATATATATATGGATCTTTGGTTGTTCGGGTTTTCTCCCGCGTAAGATTCGAAGTATCTAGGCAACGTTTCGATGAAGTCTCATTCATCATCTTCAGGCTTCTGTCTCCGGCTCTGTGCTTCTCAGAGTAATGGAGATTGCAGCTCTTCCTCCTTTTAACTGCCAGTGGGGGTGGGACTTGATTGGGTGGGGGCTTGGCTGTGTTCTGATTGGGTGGGGGTGTGTTCTCATTGGTAGGGGGTTTGGCTGTGTTCTGATTGGTTGGGGGGTTAGCCGTGTTCTGATTGGTTGGAGGCGTGTTCTGTTCAGGTGGGAGCTTGGTTGTGCTCAGGTTAGTCTTAGTTGCTGGGGGATTTGAGCTGGTGAGCTGTGATCTTGCTGTTTGGCTTCGAGTTCGTGGTCGTGCTGCATCTTCATAGTGGGTGTCGGTTTGCTTCATGTATGGCTCGGAGGGGTTTGAAGTGGGTA